TGAAGCCAGGTCATGGGGAGCTTCTCATCACTCCACACCCCGAAGTCCTTCACAGGAAAGCCTGGCAGGAAGCCTGGTGGTCTCCATGTCTGGTCTCCCAGCACGTGCGGTGATGTCCCTGGCTGGGTCTGTGCCATCTGCCTGCTCCCACTGGTCTTGGCCAGCATGTGCTGTTTGTCAGCCTATTTTTCTCTCTTTCTTAGGTTTAGCTGGAGCATTTATAGGCCGGATATACATATTCATTAAAAAAATGGAAATATTGTGGGGAGAAGAAAAAAAAGCTGTCTTTGAGCTAGCACAGCCTTTGGGAATCTGCTAAGTAAGATGCACTTAATTACTTTAGCTGTGACTACATCACATTTCACTCATGTTTCCTCTGAGATGCAAAATATCTTTTCTGAAGAGGCTGCAAACACATCCCAAGCCTTTTGCAGCAGCTCATGGCAAGTTTGTTGTGCTGAGTGCCCGGGATGGAGGCAGGAGCTGACCTGGATCTCAGAGCCAGAGCTCCTGGCGATGACATTAATCATGTTTGCAGGGTGGTTATTTAGTTACATGTGTGCTTCCATGGGCTCTGCAGGGATGCTGAGTGTTTTGTGGAGGGGAAAGGAGCACGTGCAGCCCCACTGAGCCCATGGCTGGGCTTGCATCCCACAGGACCTTGTGCTGCATTTGAAGAGGTTGTTTGCTCTCGTGGGGGGAATGTTGCATTTCTTACCTTGCTCTGTTTGGTTTGCCTTCATCACAATTTCATTCATTATTCTTCCCTGTGAGGGTGCTGAGGCGCTGGCACAGGGTGCCCAGAGAAGCTGTGGCTGCCCCATCCCTGGCAGTGTTCAAGGCCAGGTTGGACACAGGGGTTTGGAGCAACCTGCTCTAGTGGAAGGTGTCCCTGCCTGTGGCAGGGGTTGGAACTGCAGGAGCTTTAAGCTCCCTTCCAACCAAGACCACTCTGATGCTATGGTTCTATTATTTACTTTCCTAATTAGGGCCATTTGCTGCAGGGGAGCATCTCTGAATCCTGCTCCTGTGGCTCTCTTTGCTAGGGTCTTTCTTGAGGGAATATACTTTTGGTGCATGTCTAAGACCCCTGATATAGCTCAGTGTCTACAGAGTCTCGCAGTGGGAAGCAGGACAAACCCTTTCCCCAACCTGAGTGAAGGCCATCCACACCCTAAAGCCCATGCCAGAAGCACAAGCTGCTCGCCTTCACTTCCACCCCAAACATCTTACAAGTGGGGAACAGAAATGGGTTTTCCACCACTGCTCTCTCATCCTGAGGACGCTTCCTGGTCCTGCCCTTCCACACAGTGGTTAGCAGGGTTGGATGCGAGAAGCATAGTTACAATGGTACATATCCATCTGCAAAGCCTCCTGTCCATGGGGAGAAGAGGTGAAGATGTGGGAGAATGAGAGAGGGTGTCAGAACCAGCAATACTCAGCAAAGGTTGTAAGTAAACCCACTAGGTTCTAATGGTGTCAAGAAATAGGCAACTGCTTGAGAGGGGGCTTCTGGGCTAAGATATCTGTCCCAGGAGAAATGTCTCTGCTTTTGAAGAGAGGGCTGTGCTTGAGTTGCTGTCAGCAGGAGGCTTCTGTGTGGATTCTCCCAGCCAGGGCTCAGGTTTCTGATTTTTCCTGCACAGGAATTTTCAGCAGCATTTGCAGCATGTGTCCCATATCCATAATTGCACTCCTGGACTTGTTCTGCTCTGATGCATAAATAACATGCACTGTAAAGAAAAAAGAGTATGATTACATATTTAATGGATAAACAGAGCCGTTGTGGTCTATTGGCCACATAATAAAAGTTTCCCTCCAAAAATTCTCTTAATCCAGTGTTTACCCAAGAGACTGCAAATGGGAATGAGCTACTTTAAATTCTGCAATTTTTAAGGCGCGTTTCATAGCCTTCCCTGTCTCTAAAATACCCATTCTTCTAAACTTCTTCTTCATTTAAATTTAAAATAAGGGCAATAAATTATTCTTTGCCTTAGCAGCTGCCAGATCTTCTCCAACATGAAAGATCTGGGTTACACTGGCAAAATCCAAGACGAATGTACCTTTTTCACTGGAACTTGGGAAGGAGCTTGGTGCTTGCATGGCGGGTGGGTGCAGACCTGCGTCCCCATCTCTGCCCATCTCACCTTTGGCCATTCCCATGACTTTTGCAAATTCAATTGCGAATGCCAACATTGCCTCTCTGATGCCTCCTGTGCTGCCCGAGCCCGTTGTCCATCCCCATCTTGCTTGGCTGCAGCATGCACATCCTCGAGGTCTTTTTGGCCAGGGTTTCCCAGGCAGCACTGTGTGGCAAGGAGAGGCCCTACCTCTGCAATAAGGCAGGTTACCATAACAATAAAATTTGTTATAGTTCATGCAGCAGCAAGTTTCCTCATCCCCATGACGGAGCAAAGCCAGCACTGGTGCCTTCATGAGTTGGTGTTTCCTTCCAATCACCAAAGTCAAGGACAGCCATTCAGCATGGCTGCAAGTCAGCCTCAGTCAAACTCCTTGTGCTGTTGAAATGCAAGACCTCAGAGCAGCCTTACAGCATCTGAAGGGGGCTACAAGGATGCTGGAGAGGGACCTTCATCAGGGACTGTAGTGACAGGACAAGGGGTGATGGGTTCAAACTGAAAAAGGAAAAGTTCAGGTTCAATATAAGGAAGAAGTTCTTCCCTGTGAGGGTGCTGAGGCGCTGGCACAGGGTGGCCAGAGAAGCTGTGGCTGCCCCATCCCTGGCAGTGTTCAAGGCCACGTTGGACACAGGGGCTTGGAGCAACCTGCTCTAGTGGAAGGTGTCCCTGCCCGTGGCAGGGGTTGGAGCTGGAGGAGCTTAAAGGTCCCTTCCCAACCCAAACCATTCTCTGATTCTTCCTGAAAGTTAAATTCTTGTAGTTCGTAATTAACACAGAAAAAGGGCAGATCTAGGAAAATCCGTTCCCCTCGCTCAGACTCCAGTGATGGAGAATCTGAAGGAGAGCAGCACATGCTGTTGAGTGTTGTGTAAAGCTCTTGATTCCTGACCTGCAGCAGTAAATTTGGTTTCACATTGGATTTATTTCTTCTGAAGCCCTCCAAGCCCTTGCAGGTCTTCCCTGGGTTTCTTTCTGTGTCCGCTGCTAATGATGTTGGCAAGCCTCCCCTGGTCAGGAGAAATCACAGCTCGGTGGGCAGATTGGAAATGAAGATTGTTGATAAATAAAGCCTGGGTCTTTAAGCTCATGGTAACATTAATTCTGTTAACATTAAACCTGGCTGGGCAGGAATAGGTTGGATGAGGCTTGGAGCAACCTGCTTTAGTGCAAGTTGTCCCTGCCTGTGGCAGGGGTTGGAACTGGATGCGCTTTAAGGTCCCTTCCAAACCATTCTATGACTCTATGATTTGACATTTCTTATTAGCCATGTTTCATTTTGATTCTTCCAGAGCGTTGGGCTCAGCAGCCTCAGGAGGCAGCGCTGGTGCTGGTGGCCTGTGCTGTGTCTGTGCATCCGCGCAGCTCTGCGTGTCATTAGTCTTTCAGTCCCATCAGACAACTCCTCACTTTCACATTATGAGGATAATAAACATGTATTAAGAAACTGTTCCTTTTGGGGGACAACTCTATCACTTGTCCTCCTCCTTCATCTCTTTTACCTACATGTATGCACACACAAACAGAATTTTATTGTCCCTTGCCTGGACTTCTTTTGGGTTTTTTTCCCTGCTACGTTCATTTCAGATGGGATTGGAATTGACTGCAATGTTTAAAATGTGAAGAGTCATCTCCAGGAGGAGCTGTAATGGTGTGGGGTTTGTCCCCAAACATTGAGGTTCATCTCGGGGCATGTTTTGTGGCTCAGGGACATCCAGAACTCTGGCTTGATGTCAGTGTCACAGCTTTGGGCAGACTGATGTGGTGGGAGCGGGGACCTGTGGCTTCCACTGAGTGCTTCTGTGCTTCCTACTCCTGGGTGTATCCCCAGCAGCACTGGCAACTTCACATCTGTACAAAGGATGGAGGAAGGTTGTAATGCCTACATAAGCTCAGACAAGCAGCTAGTTTTCCGTCTATGTAGTTAGTAAATGTCAACCGAAGTGTTGTTCAGAAAGAGCATGTTTGGTTCCATGGACTCTAACATTGCATCACTGATGTACCAGGGCTGGATACCCAGACCTGTGTACAAAGACAATTGACCACCACCCTTGCAGTCCTTGTGGGCAGGGCGATGGCAGGAGCAGAGCCTTGGGCACATGATAGTCAGTGCTTGCTCTTGGCTTGTTTGGAAAGGGGCACAAAGAAGACTTTATCAGCTGTGTAGAATAACTTTTAATCAGTCAAGAAGAGTTTGTCTTAAAGTGATTTGTCAGTATAATAAACAAATAAATACATTTTTTGATGACAAAGTGATATTCTCCTAACTCAGATCCAGGAGATGGTCCACTCGGACACCACATCCTATGAGTCCAACCGTCAAGTGCCCCTGATCAATCGGCCCGGGATGTTGGCCGGCCCCATGAGTGCTCTCAGCCAGTCCCAGCTCATATCTCAGATGGGGATACGGAGCGGTGTAACCCACGGGTCCCCATCGCCCCCAGGAAGTAAGTCTGCTACACCATCTCCCTCCAGTTCTACTCAGGAAGAGGAGACAGAGTCACATTATAAGGTACGTGCAGTCATGCCTGTTTTAACAGACAGTGAGAAAACAGCAGATGATGTTTTTCAGTGAGGGATAAATTGAGCTAAATAAGAACACAGACTTTTGGTGTTTTCTTTTTAAATATATATCTCTAGTGGGAGACTTTCATAAGGATTGGGGGATTATTTCCAGTCTCGGGTAAGGTACAGCATGGCAGGCTAGCACACATAGAATCCCAGAGAATGGTTTGGGTTCGAAGGGACCTTAAAGCCCATCCAGCTCCAACCCCTGCCATGGGCAGGGACACCTTTCGCTAGAGCAGGTTGCTCCAAGCCCCTGTGTCCAACCTGGCCTTGGACACTGCCAGGGATGGGGCAGCCACAGCTTCTCTGGGCACCCTGTGCCAGCGCCTCAGCACCCTCGCAGGGAAGAACTTCTGCCCAAGAGCTCATCTAATATCAAACATGTAACCTAATCTTACACGACTGGGTTGTGCATGCAGCAAGTTTGGCAATGAGAGTTGGGCTTTTCCCTCCACAGCTTACCAGGTCCATCAAGCTGCAGAGTTTCCTGAAGGTTTTGTTGAGCAAAGCAGGTTCAGGGCTAAAGTTCTGAAAATGCTTGGCTGAAAAATTAGATTTCTGGTGGCAAATAGAGAAGACTTGAATAGGGATGGAAAATAACAGACGGTGGGTTGAACTGAGCTCACCAGACATGGCTTGTTAAGGAAAATCCCCAGAAATTAAAAGAGGAAGAGTCTTCTGCCTTTTAGCTCATCCAGGCAGTGTTTTAAGTGGTCAGCAATGACTTGGGGGCACAGAGTCTGCCTCTACAGCCAACACATCTGCAGCTGAGCATGGCATCAAGAAGCTCAAGTTTTTTCCATGGTTTTGGGGACATCTTTCTCAAAATGCACCAGCAAAGCAAACAGCACTTGCTGTGTGCCGTGAGTCTGTTATTTACTGAGGTCAATCACTGGATTCCCTGGGGACTTTGATTAAAGCATCTCATGGAAAACCCGCGCTGATCCAAGGATAACACCAGAACTGGTATTGTAACCTTGTCCCACAAAAATAGATGGTTGTGACGGGATTTGAATGTATAACCGGAGCAGCAAACAGTGCAGAGACTGGAGACCTAGAAAAGCACTAGGACTGAGCAAAACCCTTTCCCTTTCAATCGAAATCCAGGCAAATGTATTCCCATCACTCCTGCAGCTTCTCATCCCTTGGCAGCTTTCACTTCAGATCAGGGTATTACAAAGCAGAGTGCACACACGGATGCAAAACAGCGTCAGTGGAATAAAACGGTATAAAGAAGGGATACAGGTGATTGAAACCAGATGCAGTTTCTCAAACACTGCAATTCCATATCTGTGGGATACTGTGGAATGGATTGTGCTGCTGGACCCTGTGGTCTGCCACCTTCCAGAGTCATGTCACACAGCTCCAGCAGGTACCTGGGAGCCGGAATCTTTCATGTCCTCAGCATATGAGTTTCAGCTTAGTTACACACCAGGTTCTCTGCCTCTTCAGCATCACCCAGCTTTCATCCCAGCCAGCCAGGGCTGCACGGGTCACTGGGGAGGATACAGCTTTGGGCTTGGATTTTCTGTTCTTGTTGAGCCAGTGATGCCTGTGGGGGTAGGAAGAACTTGGAGATGTCCAAATTATGACAACTTGTGGAGACATGAATTTTTCCTAATCCTGAAGGCATGCTCCTCTCATTTGTCTGCCCAGCAAGCCAAGTGAAACAGGAGTGATGGATTTGATGGAGGAAGGAGACCCTAAGTGTAAAGAAAGCAGAGCCACATTGTGGCCTGCAGGTTTCTGTTTGCTTTCTCTACCTACACAGCTGCTGTATTCACCCTCGGTCATTTTTCATATGGCCATTCAGGGCCTCTCTGCAACAAGTCATCAAAGCAACATCTAACAAGCAGAAATTAATCTTACAAGCAAGAAGGTCACATGTTAAAGAAATGGGTCTGATGCCAGCAGGTAGCTCAGGTCCCACAAGTCCTCGGAGCCAGGGAGCTTATGATTTTAGGAGGTCTCCCAGCCTCATTGGTGCATTTACCTGCTTCATTGCTTCAGGGGGTGTACACATGCATAGGAGGGAGAGGTAGTTACAGCGCAGCTTCCAGCTGGATTAGTGATCTCTCTAAATAATTACTAAAATCACAGTGTCCATGGGGTTCCTGCTTTTCACAGGTTCAACATCTAAGAAAGCACCAAGCCACCAGTTTATGGGATCACATCTCTCACCAGTGAATTGCCCCAGTCCACAGCTGGTGTTAAACTTGCCTTCTGCTGCCTCTCAGGAGTAGGTCCACGCAGGGGCTGGTGGCCACACATCTCATCCCACTGCGTGAGCCTTCACAATTGCTTTGACCATGGCCCACCTTGGGGAGGCCCCATCCTTGGGGGATGCAGCTGCTTTGGGGCAGCGAGGTGTGGGCTTACCAGGTCCTGCCTTTAGCCATAAACATGGCTGAGGGTGTTGAAGCATCTTCTGCAGCGCAGGGCTGGGCTGTTGTCTCATCCTGTGTTGCATCACACATTGAACTCCAGGAAAACCAGGCAAAGCTCTGATCTCCTCTGCTCCCTCTTGGGAACTGATGGCTCCAGGCAGCCTTGCAGGCAGCATCTGTTTTCCATAAATACCATTTGCTCTTTGGTGCTGCCTAAGCAGGACCAACTGTAAACCCATCATCATGGCTGTGGTTGCATTGTGCCTGTTCCCACTCCTTCACTTAGTGAATGGCTTGAGAAGGGCAGGTCCCCCCATGGCTCTTCAGTGAATCAAAGAATTACAGGTTAGTTAAAATAGCATCTCACTTGCCAATGGGCTGAAGCCCGGTCATGCATGTTTTTGATCCTAATAAGCTGCCCTTTCACCCTCAGGCCTCCCATTCAAGCCCAATGGGGCAATTTGAAATTAAATGCAGGTTTTTTTGGTCTCTCTGCTCATTCACTAATAGTCATTCTCTGTTTGACAAATGACACTGTGCTGATACTCAACTTAATGACCAGTCAAGAGCTGCTGAGTGGAGAACAGGAGTGCTGATGCCCTTTCCTCCCCATGCCTGGCCTGTGCCAGCTGAAAGGAAGTGTCTTAAATCCCTGTGCTTCCAAGCACACAATCAAATCCATCAGGAGAAAAGGCCTCTTTCTCCCAGCGCTCGCTGGGAGGCCCAGGTTTTGCACTGGCTTGGTGGTTTGATCTGTGTTATTGATTTGTTTTAATTTGGTTTAGACCTCAAAGTGACACACTAGGTGACTTCCTAAGTTGGACCATTAGCCCGTGCTCCTGGTAGGGCAGGTACTGTGGGTGGTGGCTGAGCACTTGGTGCTGGAGCATAGTTGGTCTGCAGGTAGAGGTGCTAGAGCCCCGTTTGCCCTTGAGGATGCAGAGATCCAGGCAGCAGCAGCTGGGAGAAAATGGTTTTGTTCTCTGTCTTGTTTAACATCTGGTGTACTGAGTTTTTCCTCCTCTATAAAATAAGGATAATGGTGCTTCCCTGTAGTGTGAGCTTTCACTGACCACAGTTAATGCATTGAGAGCTTTGATGTATGTCCAAGTGCTTTCCAGGGGTCTTTTCCTTTGCACACCATCACACAGAGGCCTCTGCAGTCCCATATATCCAACACACTGCCCAGAGCATCCTAGCAGAGGCTCAGCTGTAGGATATTTCAGAGCTACCTTCATTGGAAGCATCCCTGTTTCCAGCCTTGCTGTTCTACCTCCCAGCATGATCTCATACTGACCAGCCACAAAGTCCAGCTACTGTTGCCTGTGTCCTGCTGCTCTTGGTTCAACCACCCACAGGGCACCGAGCATGGATACAGCCAGATCAAGCCTGCACACAGGAGGGTTGCAAGGAGTGAGCAGTGCACTCCTTACAAGTGTTTAATACATAACAGTAAAATAGTTTAATTCCTGGACAGGGGTACATACCTCTTAGCAAGGTGAAACAGATTTCGTATGGCCCCAGTGTGATGGCTAATGTGATGCTGATGTTCACTCATGAATGACCCTCTTGCCTAGAGAGAGGGGATGCTGAGGCACTGGCACACACAAGGGCAAGGGAAGCCAGAGGCATCTTGCAAAGGTGGATTATTGGGCTGGAAATCAGAAACCAACTCTGGAAAAATTCATGGACTGCTAGAGGGATGTGGCTGGGAAGCAAGGTGTTTGGAGAGGTCCAGATGAGGATCAAGGAGTGAGTGAATTTGTGATGCCAGGGAGGAGGAGGGTGAAGGGGGTGACCAAGGATGAGTGTGGGAAGCCCCAGCTTTGGATCAGGGACCACAGGAGCAGCAAGGGGTGAACCCAAGCTGTGAACGAGGCTGTGAGGAGGCACCCAACCAGGCTCAGGGACCCAGCAGTGGTTTGTGTAATGATCCTATGGGCTCTTGCAGGCCAAAGAGACACCCAGAGCTGCTGCCCTCCTCATCGCACTGGGAGCCCTCCTCTGCCCGTGCTCTTTCTCATCCCTTTTGCTAGGAAGCTGTAGCAGGGACTCACACCTGGCTGCTCCCAGCTGACTGCTAAGGTTCATCTCTTGGTTTTGCAGGTTACTGGGGAGAAAAGACCATCAACAGACCTGGGCAAAAAGCCCAAAAGCCAAAAGAAGAAGAAAAAGAAGGACCCCAATGAGCCCCAGAAGCCCGTGTCAGCCTATGCCCTGTTTTTCAGAGACACACAAGCAGCCATCAAAGGGCAAAACCCCAACGCTACCTTCGGAGATGTGTCAAAAATCGTGGCGTCAATGTGGGACAGCTTGGGAGAAGAACAAAAACAAGTGAGTTAATCTTTCTTATTTGCCTTTCAACTGTTGCAATGTGGTTTTCATGGTCCAGAGCATCAGAGTCTCGCCGACACGTTAGGAGAGTGCCCCTTTTGAGAAGAATCTCTGCTCTTACATAGGGAAGAGCTTTTATGACAATTGTTTATTCTTGAGAAGATTATACTTTGCAAACCCTCAGTGGCCTTGCCCTGACATGGGGTTATTACAGCTCTAGATGGGGGATGTGTTTGTATTTGCCTCTTTATTTACAAGGAGTGATGGCAGACGGGCTAAAAACTGACTCTCTACAGCACTGGCCTCAAATCTAACATTAAGGCTTTAAAAGCTTAGGAAGGAGATGTCTGAAGTGACCCTGCAGAGGAAACCTCCCTGCCCCAAAGCTGTCAGCCACTTTCAATTTGCCTCACACGGTGGCTTCTAGGTCCTGCTTTAACTGTTCTGTTGATGCTGAGTGAGTTACAAAAGCCTGTAATTGCATGTTGCCTGTTGAGAAAACCCCAGGAACACTTTCCATAGCAAGGATGTCTTCATCAGGCAGAGAGAGATCTGGCACTGCACGTTATATATCTCTGATCCCAAACTGACAGTCCCCCATGAGGTATGAGCCCTGGCTGTCAGCACTGGCTCCATCTCCTCTTGGGTGTCCATGGCCAGTGATTGGAGCAGCCACATTTGAGGAGGGAGCAGCAGGGAGGAAAAAAAGTCATTTAAATGGAATAGCTTTGCTCTCCACCCTGCACCAAGTCAGGAATAGAATCATGGAATGGTCTGGGTTAGAAGGGACCTTAAAGCTCATCCAGTTCCAATGCCCTGCCAAAGGTAGGGACACCTTCCATTAGACTAGGTTGCTCCAAGCCCCATAATAAGAATCGAGGCAAGGCATCTTCTGGGATGGAAGCCCTTTTGCTGACCCATTTGGAGTCTCCGTCCTGTGCAAAGTGTTACTTGGATATTTTCATGATCATAGAATCATAGAACAATTAGGGTTGGAAAGGACCTTACAATCATCTAGTTCCAGTGCCCTGATCCTCCCTTTTCTCTTCTTTGGTTGGATCACTGGGAGGTCATGTGGGGATTTCTCATGCTGAAGAAGGGAAGAGGATCCCTTCCTTTGCCTGGGAAGCTAGAGGGCTGGTGCTGGGTTTGGGCTATCAGTGTGAGGTGTGGGAGATTCAGGAGCAGGCAGAAGCTTTCACATCACCTCTGTCTCCTGCTTTCATCCCTCCCATCTCAGTCTGCCTCTCCCTTACTCCATCGGATTACAAATACCTCTGTAGATTGGGCACCGAGCTCAGCTGCAAATGTGGTTTATATAATGGAAGCGCTGGTGTGACCTGTGTCAGCACAGTGCAAATGCTCTTAATTAACAGCAGGGATTAAACCAGCCCGTTTATCTTCCCTGCTAACTCTCCCTTCTTCTCCTTTATGAGATAGCAGCAGCCTCTCCGTCTCTTTACACACGCTTTCTAAGTGGCTCCATTTCTCCCTCTGTAATTGATTTAATTAAGTCATTTGTTCCTTGTCTGAATGCTTAAATATTAACTTCCTGGCTTTGTCTCCAGCTCTATACTTTTCTCCCACGACAGCTACCTCCATGCCCGGGACTCTGGCTGCAGGCAGCTATTTATCTTGGGCTCCGGGACCGGGTTGCTGGTTTGTGCATTGTGGCACGTTCGCTCTTGAAGTGTTTGGCTGGAAGAAAGTTTATTTAGTCCTTGTTTGCTTTTCCCTGCCAGCATCCCCAGTCAGGTTTTCTTAGAGTCATAAGGGAATGCAATGGGAAGAAGAAAAGGAAAAGGAAGAAGTATTAACAAAATATCTTTAAGGCAGCTCTGCTCTGGAGCCAGGCTGAGATAACTGGGCTGGGTCAGCCTGGAGAGGAGAAGGCTCCTGAAGGGGACACCTTAGAGCAGCTCCAGTGCCTAAAGGGGCTCCAGGAAACCTGGAGAGGGGCTTTGGACAAGGGCCTGTAGGGACAGGACAAGGAGAATGGCTTGAACCTGCCAGAGGGGAGACGGAGATGATCTCTTGGGCAGAAGCTCTTCCCTGTGAGGGTGCTGAGGCGCTGACACAGGGTGCCCAGAGAAGCTGTGGCTGCCCCATCCCTGGCAGTGTTCAAGGCCAGGCTGGACACAGGGGCTTGGAGCAACCTGCTCTAGTGGAAGGTGTCCCTGCCCGTGGCAGGGGGTTGGAACTGGGTGAGCTTTAACGACCCCTCCAACACAAACCAGCCTGGGATTGAATGCAAACTAGTGCCTAGACTGCCCTGCAAATCCCTTCTCCCGAGGACTACAGGATGTAGATGCGCACACTCATGATGAAGGCAAGCAGCTCATGCCAAGTGCTCTCTTGGCACATCTCAGGAGGGGATGCTGACCAACCAGAACAGACACACATCACTGCCAAAATCCTGCTAGGACCCCGGGGGTCCAGACTGCCACATGGCTGCCCCAGGCTGCGTTTTTTTCAGCCCATCACTGGCCAGGAGCATCGTGCTCTGGGGAGGGGTGGAAAGGTGGAAAAGGGAAGTATTTCACTTTCTGTGCTGCTCCTGCCTCTATTGACAACAGCGAGTTTGAGCATCTTCATATCCTCATTGCAGAAGCAAGCTGGGGAAAAGCCAGCACAGTGATGGCAAAGTAGGCAACCAAGAGCCAAATCTGGATGTTCTTGATCAATTCTGACCAAGTTTTTTATTAAAGAAAGCTTCCCTTCTTCCTAGTATTAGAAAAGAGGGTGGATCTGAGGCTGTAGGATCTGATTTGGGGCTGGGTTGTGGTCCTAGAATTAGATCTCTCACAACCCCCAAGATGTTCAGCTTGGTGCTGGAGCATCACATCTGCGGAGGGCTGATGTGCAGATGCCAACCCCATCATGCAGTTATTAATCAGTCATTTACATCACTGTGGTTCCTGCTTCAGATGAGGTTTACAAACCGTATTTTCCACCTTCCAATGGGCACAGTGTTTCCCCAGCCCTGGGTGTGTTTTGGTTCCAGCCTTGTGGGAGAACAGCAGGCAGAGCAGGCAGGGAGCAACCAGGAAGGGGGTTCAGAGCAATAAACCCAGCCTCATCCAGGGCATTTTGGACTTGTGATCCCCCACCACACGTCAGCAGCCCCACAGATGCTACATGGAGCATTCAGCAGGCAAAAAGCAGACACCACCTCTTTGCCAGGTAGCTCAGGCCGGCACGTGGAGGGTTAATCCTCTGCTGTTCATGCTGCTAATGATTATATGTGCTGTAATATCAAAGCTGTAGCTATTTATTTGCCATTGAGCAGGTGCTGCTGCTCCCACAAAGCAAATTTGCTTTCTCCTCCTGATGAAACAAGCAAAATAAAGGTTGTTCACGTCCCATTTCAGATAGGTTTTTTCCCTGTGCAAAGACAAACGCTGAGCAGGAACCAGAATGCATATTATGCAAGAAACCATATAATCGAGGAGCATCTTTGATTTGGCTGCTACTGTCACAGACATGTATTTCAGAGAGGCTTCCCCCCCCTCCCTTTTTCTTTTGTTCTTACTGGTTTATCATTTGTGCCTTTGTCATTTTGTTCCTTCTTCTTCGTCTCTTCTCAGCCTCTTCACAATGAATCTTCATTTTCCCTCTGACACACTTGTATCTAAATTTCCTTATTTCCTGCCTTTTTTTTTTTATTTATATCTGTTGCCTGGTGATTTGATCATGCTGTGGAATACAGGATTAGCAATCTCCGTGTCCTTGGGTACTGCTCAAGGACACCTGTTCAGCAAAGAGCCGTTTCCTTCCCCATTTTAACCCCTTCCAGGGTGGCCACGCGTGCGGAACAGCAATAAATAACAATACCTTTATACATCCCCAGCCCTGTATTAGCAGGATGTTGTAATCTTCGTTCTTCAACAGCTGGCATGGCCCTTTCTAAGAAGCTTACATGGGAAGCTGAAGAATGTGACTGAGGGGGTGGGGGGGAATATGAATGTGTACTCTTTGAACTTTGCAAATAGTTTGGCAGCTGTTCCTGTAGAGATAACTTAGGCTTTGGTGGAGATTGAGATGCTAATGGAGCCGTTATCATCAAATGGGGGACCTGTTGTAGTGATCTACCTGCAGCTCCAGGTCCCTGCTCCAGGCTCACAGAATCCTCAGTGTGGTTTTTCCTCATAAGCAAATCCAGCCCAGCCTTTGCAGTGTTATCTAGCGAGTGCTGCCTGATTTGATAGAAATTAGAAGCATTTGAGCACTAGGTTGGAGCAAACTCCACTAATTTCAGCCTGAAGTTGTGCCAGGGCAGGTTTAGATGGAGCTGAGGAACAATTCCTTCCCCAGAGGGTGCTCAGGCATTGGAACAGGCTGCCCAGGGCAGTGCTGGAGTCACTGTCCCTGCAAGTGCTCACACACTGTGTAGACGAGGTCCAGTGCCAGGGGTTAGTGGTGGCCTTGGCACTGCTGGGGAACAGTTGGACTTGATGATCTTAAAGGTCTTTTCCAACCTGGCTGATCCTGTGATTCTATGATTCTAATTGTCTGGGGAGGGTTCTTCCCTGGCGTGGACATAGTGCTCCCAGCCTGGTAACCAGCCCTGTGAAGGGCCACCTCTGCTCAGGGGGAGGGGACACCCAGTCCTCTGTCAGGGGCATCTATGTGGGAGATAAGCCTCGAAACTCTCTGGAATATATTGAGAAGTCACCAGTGGGATTTGCTCTTCTCTGCCACATTCTGTCATTCCCTCTCTAAGCATCTTCCCATTGTCCACTGTGTTTTGGGGGAAAAGGACTTTGGTTTGGAGCCTGGTGGTAATGGAGCACAGGGAACACTGCCAAGCTGTCAGATGTAGATGTTTCTGGAACCTGCTGCTTTTCATTAGGAAATCCAGCAACAGATAGGTTGGTGTTTCCCTAGATCCTGGAAACTCAGAACAGAGGCATCAAGAAGTTCCTGAACAATCTTGGTAAGTGAAGCTTGGGCCAACCCAGGGCTTCCCATCCTCAGTGAGGAGAAGTCCCACAAAACCAGCATTTCCAGTTGAGTTGATGGGTCTGGGGACTCACTGGGGACAGAATGGTACCAGAGATGAGTCCTTTCAGCAGGACCAGTTCAGCAATGCTAAGTGATTCCATGGCAAATGCACCAATCCCAAGCAACATTTCAAGAGAGGTCTGATGGAGACCAGGATAATGACAGGGAAGATGTGGAGAGTCAGAACTGCTTTTAAAAGCAGCTCCAAGAATGTGACTTCTGTTCCTAGAGATCAAGATCAGAAGTGTGGAAGATGAAGGTTGTGTGCTTTTCGTTGGAGGTTGGGGATTGGATTTGTCACCCTCCTCCTATGTTTCATTTGGAGTCTTCTGTGAGTTGTCCTGGGAACACATTTGAGCCCTAACATGGAGTAATGGATGACTTACACCCAGGTGTCACCATGAAGTCAAGGCAGAGGATCTTTCAGGATGCTTTAATCATAGCTACTTGATTACGGGCTTATCCATTCATCCTCCGAAGGACTGCTTTACAACACTGTATTTCCACCAGGTAAAGGAGGAGCTCTCCTGAAACCCTGCAGATAGTTCCATAGCCAGGGCCTTTTATGTAGGTGTCTTCACGGATGTTAGATGCTCAACAGCTCCCATGCCAGAGCTGGGAGAGCCTGGGAAAACTGAAACACCACTTAACCCGGCACCTCATGACTGGCCTCATTGACAGGTACCTCCCATGTCCAAGCTTGACCACAGGACTTGCCAACCCAGGCTATAGGTATTAGTCTTAAGGAGACATGCTGCAATTTAAACATAGCTTGGGTTAGTTGGTTCTAATGGAAGGAGGAACAGAATAAGCCTTCCCAAGAAGGGAGCAGGAAGGTTGCAGAGGAGGGTGCGAGGAGGTGAAGAAAAACTGGGAAGGAGTAAGGATGACATGGCTGTGTGTGCTATGTGCATTTCCAATGGCTGTGTGGAGGCTGTATGCAAAGAGAAGGATGATGTGGCAGACACCACTGTGCAGTGAGGGAGTACTTCAGTCATGGTATGAATAAACCCGAAGTTAAGGTGATCCCAAGAGCTGCCTTGCAGGAAAGTGTATAATAGTTATGAGAAAAACCCTCCAGATTTACAAGCAGAATGAAATCCAAATTTATACATGGGAGGGGGAAAAAGATGGGAAAGCCAGTCATGGAATCATAGAAAGGAGGGCAAGGAGAGACTTAAGAGGTCAACCAGACCATACTGCTGCCTGAAGTCAGGATCATCTCTGCTTAAGCCATTCTTGATGGATGTGTGCCTAATCTGTTCTTAAATTCTCAGTGGCGGAGATTACACATCTCCCCAGGCAATCTCTTCCCGTGCTTAATTATCCTCACTGTTAGGAACACTTCTGTCTTGCTTAGCCAACATTTCCCTTGTTCCAATTTAAACCCATTGCCTCTTTTCCTACCTGCAGTAGACGCAGAGGATCGTTCAGTACCTGCTTTGATGCATCTCGTTTGGAGACTGTGGTTCCTCCTGGTCTTCTATCCTAGCTAAACAGAGTCCTTCAACTCTCCTCCTGGAGGTGTTTGCTGCACTTCTCATCTCTTCTCTCCTGATAGCCTATCTCCTTTTTGAAGCAAAACTCCCCAAACTCCATCTGGGATTGCAGCAGAGACCTTTGCACTTGGGCTCTGTGCACCCCTTGATTTTTGGGGTGAGAGTTTCATCATTCCCAGGCTTGGGAAGCAGCGTTCCTGCTAACGCCGGATGCCGAGGTTACGGCTAACAGCTCTGGCTGTCATTCAGTGCCTGTGCGACACGGAGCTGCTCGTGGGCGTCAGCAGGGTTTGGAATAATTGTCTTCTCTAATTAACTGGTTATCAAACAAGAACATTTCATTACAGTACAATTACTGGCTGCTTTGCTGAGACACAGAGGTGTCAGCGCTGCGATCCCAACATATGCTTCTTACAGCTCTGATTTTTTGTTTTCATAAGCACTAAACCATTTTTGCTTCACTCCCCCCCTTCCCCAACCCACCCACTCGCTTAATGACTAATGAATCCTCCTGCTAATGAATAAGGAAAATAAATCAGTGGGCACGGCAGGTTAGAAAGAAAAACATGCAAAATGTTTTGAGGATCCTTAAATCTGATAAATTACTTCGAAATTAAAATCCCTGGGAGAAAATGGGAGTTAATTAGAAAGTAACATGGTTTTGTCAATGTTTAAATTAAAATTTTAAAGGTTATAAATACTGCACTAGAGCTGTCTTTACACTGAGGATTCCTCAGAAGTTTTGTTGGATCTGCTTATCCCACATAGGCACAGTGTTTCCCCTGCTGCAGGCTGAGGTTTCACTGCTGAGGGTCCTCCATGGACACTGTGTGGGCACAGAAAGCCCCCAGTGTAGGGCAGAACTGCAGGAATGTCATCAGGAGACACTTTGGGATGGTTTTTTACCATGAGGGTGCTGAGGCGCTGGCACAGGGTGCCCAGAGAAGCTGTGGCTGCCCCATCCCTGGCAGTGTTCAAGGCCACGTTGGACACAGGGGCTTGGAGCAACCTGCTCGAGTGGAAGGTGTCCCTGCCCGGGGCAGGGGTTGGAGCTGGATGAGCTTTAAGCTCCCTTCCAACACAAACCAGTCTGTGACTCTATGTTCACAAACCAGATAGTCCACCAGGAGCCTTCCAGAGCTGGAGAGAGCATCAGGGGAGCATCAGAGGAAATACCTCCAGGTCTCACCAACTTAACCCTTCTCTGTCAGCCAGCTCATGGCAGGGGCTGGCCCAAGGGCATGGAGGATCCTGCTGGGAGCAATCCCCCTCTCCCTTCAGGAGGACACAGGATTCAGCTGCCCCTTCCCAGTCCTGCTGCATCAGACACCACCCAGCAGCATGTTCTAGCAATGAGAGCCACAGCGCCCGCTCACTGAATGGAGAAGACAAGGAGAGATGAGGAGTGGGGAAAGAAAAGGATTCAGCAGAAAAACCCAAGTGACAGGGGTGCAGATGGGCACCGAATTTATTGGTTACTCATTTATCTGCATTTAGGTTAAGAAAGTCTCATTTACCTGCCCTGTCACTGCCCATAAATTGCAGGGGTTTTCTCCAGCCAAGTCCTCCTAACAACTGATTCTGTCTCTGTGTAGCTGTGAACGCTTTGATTTCCCACTGCCCCAGATTTAGATAAAAAAGCAAAAATGCTCTTGTTGTTTTGCTGTTACAGAGGGGAAAAATATGTTTTCAATATATCAGCACCCAGCTACGGCCTGAGACACAGGAATTCATATTTCATTGCTGTGCAGGTACCATGTTTAAAAGCATCTCTTAGCAGCAGGGCTGAGGGACGCCCCACATTTCTGTGTCACAGCAGATGCTGCGATGAGCTTCGGACACAAGTGAGGTGGGGAATGTAGAGAAAAGGAACAGTTTTCATTAGGGGAAGTGGTGCTGTGTGAAGAAATAGTTGCTTTTCACAGGCAAACTCTTCCTCAGGCTGACATTTTGAAATGTAATTTTGTTCTGAACGGAGCAAATATAATATTTCCTGTATAGCAAAAAGCCAAAGACAAACTTAGGCAAATGCTCTGTTTCAGAAAATAACCATCTGAGACCTCCAGTGTGTCAAATCAAAATGTTTCATTGTGGGTGTCTGATTTTGCAATGAAAATATGGTTTTCAACCCATTTTTAATAGAATTTATCTGTATTGATTTTAAAGTGAAATGCAAGTCACTGGATAGTCTTCTGCTTCTGGGAACTCCTTTCCGGGTTCTCACCAGCAGTGATTTCAGCAAAGAGCTTTTCATAGAATCATGGAATGGTTTGGGTTGGAAGGGAGCTTAGAGCTCATCCAGCTCCAACCCCTACCACGGGCAAGGACGCCTTCCACTACAGCAGGTTGCTCCAAGCCCCTGTGTCCAACCTGACCCTGAACACTGCCAGGGATGGGGCAGCCACAGCTTCTCTGGGCACCCTGTGCCAGTGCCTCAGCACCCTCACAGGGAAGAGCTTCTGCCTCAGAGCTCATCTCAATCTCCCCTCTGGCAGGTTCAAGCCATTCCCCTTGTCCTGTCCCTACAGGCCTGTGTAAAAGAACCCCGGCGCAGTCCAGTCCTGGTGCTTTATTTGCTTGATTTGGGATAAATTCCTCTCCAGCAGAAAGGAGTTTTCCATGCACACATGCATGCAGGAATGGCCTCAGTGGAGGGAGGTCCCACTGAGCAGGCAGGGTCCAGCAGCACCCTATTCTTCTTGATTAAATATTAATTCTTATCCATCACTTGCTCCTTTCAGGCATACAAGAGGAAAACAGAAGCTGCCAAAAAGGAGTACCTGAAAGCTCTGGCAGCGTACCGGGCCAGCCTCGTCTCCAAGGTACAGCCACCTTCTTCAGGAGCTGAATAAATGCTCTCAGCGTGCTTAGGGTGGGCACCAGGCTGCTTTCTGCCTTTAGCACCCTGAAATGAGACCCTGCTTTGAGCTGTCTTCATCAGCAGGTGCCAGCATCCTGCCTGCGCCCTGGTCCAGGCTCTTGGACCCTGGGTCTTGCTTCTCCCGTGCATGCTCAGCCAAGAGCAGGGGTTTAGGAAATGAGACCCCTAACTGCAGGTTGACGAGCATGTGAGCACACAGGTGCTTAACACACTGCTGTCAAACCCAGAAAGTCTGTTTTGGTGCCTAATAGTGAGTGTTCAGGAGATTTCAGGTCCATACAGGAACTCCTGGTGCTGCAAGGCTGCATCTGGAGTAGTGATGATGGGCCAAGTGCCTGCCCATCCCAGTCCTCCAAAGGTGGACATCATTGCAGGAGACCTCACACTGTGCCCTCCTCTGTGTCTTCAGAGAGGGGACATGGGCATTTGCTGCCTGTGAATTTGAGGTGGCTCCTGCAGAGCTCGTAGGCTTGCTGGCTCAGGGGGATATGCTGCCCCTGGGTTGTGAGTATGTGTATGAGGTGGTTTTCCCTTCAAAGCTTCTCCTTGGTACCATTACCATACCCTCAGTACTTAATAATCACATTCAGGTACCATGGGAAATAATGTGATGTCCCAAATCAACCGTCATCTACAGGATCCATGTGATTGTGGTGGTGGGCTGGAAAGGCTCACAGCCCCTATAGACATGAGTACCATTACTGGTCTTCACTTGTGAAGACAGCAGCAGCAAGGACACAAAAAGTGAATGGAAAGGACTGTTCAAGGGTTTAAAAGTTCTTCTCAGTCCCTCTGGACACTTCTGAGAGTCTTGAGTGGGTGGGTGGGTGGATGGATGGATGGATGGATGGATGCGCGGGCAGGTGGGTGGATGGATAGATGCATGTCTCAGGACACATAACAATGTTTCCTCCCTTCCTACCTCATCACCCTCTGTTTTATTTGCCCACAGACCTCTGCTGATCAGGGGGAGACGAAAAGTGCCCAGAGCAATCCACCTTCCAAAATGATCCCCCCCAAGCAGCCCATGTACCCAATGCCTCCACAGGCTTCTTCACCCTACCCCGGCCTGGGTTCATTCCTGTCCCCATCAGACCTGCAGAACTACCGTGGCCACCAGCACCCCAGCCTCTCCCGGCCCCTCCCCTCCC